TTCAGAGTTGCTGTGAAATAATGCACATAACCTTTAGAGCAGTTCCTGTTTTGCTCAAATTAAAAGTTCAATTACTACTACACCAAAATTCCTAGCTAGGAATTCACAGTACGATAGTTCATTCAACAGAACTGTCAAAATAGGCTCTAATTTTGTCAACTGATGTTAAGTCATAAGTCAAGTCCATTCGTGCAAATAATCTTTGCCACAGGAATACACCATACTTACAGGCTTGAGAATGCCCTCTGGGAAACATTAACAAGGGCTTAACTCAGCTTTATTCCTTCTGGAAAACATCTATCAAAGCTGTGGTAAACATTAAATGATATATATTTATGTAAATGAAGTAAAAGCAAGTAAATTCATTAGTAGTGTAAATATAATGTCCTTTTGACCTGAACCAGAAGAGTTTATAACTTCTGCAAAGTTTGCCAAAGAGCAGTTCCCACAGGTGCAAACCACAATGAGGTTGAAACCAAAGTTACAACTGGGAAAGTGGTTAGTGACATGGAGGAATAGAAGTCAACAAATGATTTTTTCTCCTTTGTTTTTCCTTCTCTTTATTCATAACATCTTAATAGCTTTTGTTTTAGTTTCTATTTTTGTTTCCGAGAGAGGTTCTTGTTATATGGTCCTGGCTGGCGCTGAATTCACTGTGTAACTGAGGGTGGCCTTGAATTCATAGCAATCCTGCCTCAGCCATCCAAGTGCTGGGATTACAGGCATGCAACACCATGCCTGCCTAATAGCTGTTTTTAAAAGCTGAAAAAATCTAAAAAGCAAGGCATAAAAATGTCACATGTAACTGACATTCATTATGATTTATAAATCTAAATGGCATCTAGAATCAAGGTTTAAAAAACTATACATGGAACATGCACTTAAAAGAAGCAAGGGGGGGTGCAAAAGCAAATTGTTGCCCTAAAACTGCTCAACAACTCAAATAATGAGAACATATTTCTGGCTAGAAGTAACTGGACCAACTCACAGGAGACCATATGACAAGTTATAGGTTTTGGTTGATTGTCTTTATTAAATGTTCACATCCCTCAGGATCCTCTCATCTATTTTCTATTTTTATGTGATCTCCAAATCCTCACATCATTTAGTGATTTAATATTGAAGTATTATTATTGTCTAATGTACTAACTTCCAAAATTCTGAAATATAACCTCCTTTTCTTCCCATTCTCACTGCCATGCTCTCAATTTAATCCTTCATTATTCATCACGAATCATTATTTCCCATGAATAATCAAGTAGATCACTCTATGTATCACCTGTTGTGCCATAAAACACCCCACCCTCTCCCTGACCAAATGATCTCTATATGTCCATCTTAACCCATCTTCTTTCCTTTTTTTTGGTACCAGGGATCGAACTCAGTACTTCGTGTGTGCCAAGCAGGCACTTACGCCACTGAGCTAAAGCCCTGGCTTCTTTCCATTCTTAACCCTGCAGCTTGAGTGACTTCTAAACTCAATCTGTTCATGTCTTGACCAGCTTAATTGTTTCAAAGAATTCACCATCACCTAAGCACTCTGCCCCATTTGTCTTCATTTATGTTCACCACCTGACATACTATGTTGTCTGTTCACTGTCTCTACCCCAATTAGTTAAGTTCATAAAGTCACAGTTTTTGTTCACTGCAATATGTTATTCGCATGAATGCACGAATGTATAAATGGACTGATGACCCTCAGGCCAAAGACTTCTACAACCTGCCACTGGCCTCTTCACTTTATTCCCACCTCCATCAACAGTGAATTGTCTAAATACAACATGCACTTTCACACTCCTTTGTTTTGCCACATGTTGTTCTGAAATACAAACTCTCCTCACCATTCAATCAACCTAACGAACTACCACCAATTTTTTAAAATTTTTAATTTTACGGCACTGGGGCTCAAAGTCAGAGCTTTATATATGCTAGGTAAGCATTCCACCATGGAACTAAATCTCCATCTCTAGCACCAATATTTTAGAACTTTTCCAGAAAACTTCCCCTGACTCCACACACAGTATAGTATATCATTCTTCCTTTTCTTTGTGCTTTGCCTGTACCTTTATCTACAGTGGCTTGGAATAAACAACTTGAACAGGTTATCTTTTTCTTAGATTGTGAATTCATTTCTCTATCTTTGGCGCTTAGTATATTACCTGTTATAAAGCAACCATTCTGTAAATGCTCACTATGTATGCATAACTATTTTTTTTTTTTTGTCTTTTTCATTTTTATCGGTACCAGGGATCGAACTCACGACCACATACTTGCAAGGCAGGCGCTTGTGCCGCTGAGCTAAATCCCCAGCCCCATAATTATTTTTAGTAAGAGGAATCAAAGCACCGAGTTTCAAAAAGTCACTACTCCAAGTTCATAACGAATCTAAGGATAATCAGTAAGATAAAACAATTGCAATCAATATCATCATTCATGAAAGAGAAGGACAAATACATACATTACCAAAATCATTCCAAAGACATAATGGTTGTAATCGCACCTTACTGGGTTGTCTTGCTCCTCTTTAGTCTTCCATATTGGCTGAGTTCTGTTGCTGCTAAACTGAGACCCAGTTAAGCAGTGAAAAGTAAAACACAGACCTAGGTTTCCCATTAATAATCAAGTAGATCACTCCCCGATGAAATTTTTGATGTTCTGTCTCATACAAGTTAGTGTTGTAATTTATGTTTAGTCAAAACAGTACTTTGATTAAACTTCAAAGTATTTGTGCAGGACTAGATTTTATCACTACCCATCTTACCATGAACCAAAGACCAGAGCTTACCACCAGCTGTGGGGCCTACTGTCATAAATGGCCTATAGTTGTGCCTTGATTCCTGATGTCTTCAACCCTTGAATTACCCATGCAGGGAACCCTGGAATGACCAGACAAAGAACCCTAAACCAGACACCTTCAGCCTAGAGAAATCTCATCTATTTCCCCAATACAAAAATTACTATTTTTTCTCCGACAAACCAAAGCCACTAAATCCAACCAAAAGGATAATGCAATCTCCTTATTTAGTTCTAATAGTATGAATCTGCATATAAATGTGCAAACACACACACATATATACAAATGAGTAGACATAAACCAACATTAAGAAAAGTGAAAAACCATAAATACAGTAACAGCTAAAATAGTATCAGTGTAGCTATGGCATGGGATGTGATCCTTGATTTTTCCATCTTCCATTAAGTAAACAAGATTCTAGAAAATGTACCTCCCAAGTCTGTTTTCCAAATAGATTGCCTATTCCCAATAGTACGCCTTAATTCAGGATCCCAGCATTCCTTTCTAGGATAACAGACTCCTAATTGGTCTCTCTTTTCAGACACAAGGATAACTGCTGTTACTATTTGTTGAGCGGTTATGTAACAAGCACTGCACTAAGAACTTGATCTTTTAACTTTGCATCTATCTATTCTGACAGCAACCCTGCAAATCAGAAATTATGATACTCATTTTTTTTAAATGAGGGGTCTGAAACTCTTGAGATAAGCTGAGTTGTCTAAAGTTAAAGTTAGAGATGAAACTGCTTAGTGGAGTTCTAATCCAGCTCTAAATATCTGGTCATTACATTACTACACTGCTCAACCTTCTTCACTTTGGTCCCACTGTGACTTTTCTGAAAGATGACAGATCTCATGTTTTGCCCTGCATAAAATATTGCAAAAACAAGCTTCACCTCTCAAGCCGTCATTCCTCATCTTTGTTACCCTCCTGCCCCAGTAAACTCACAGTCATTCCTTTACTGTCTTACTTTTTCACCTGAGAACATACTGTTTGTCCCCTCAGACATTTTTCCTCTTTGGCAGGCTACTTCCATTACAAATTTCAAGATTTACTTAGACAATTTTTATTCAAGAACTTCTTTTCCCTAACACATATCTACAACCGGGTAAATATGCTATACATGCTGCAATTACCAATTAAGTTTCTTATCACACTGTACTAACACTTTACTTAGTAGACTGTTGCTTCCTTAAAAGTAAACACTGCATTTCAAAATCTTGGTACTGCTAATACTGTATGTATGTCATACAGGACTCACACATGTTGAGTTAATGATTTGTCAGAGGTCAACTTGTGCTTTTGAATTCGAACCTGCCACACAATACACATAAGCCTACAGCAGATTTATTAATCATTTTGACATTTTCTCATCTGCAAAATGGGAGAAATCTGCCCCTACCTCATAGCTTGTGAAAGAGTACAAGAAATAATAGATTGAGCGCAACCCCTGGCATTGAAAATACAAATTAACATTAGCAACATTCTTTTTCACTCCCAAAATTAATCCATGCTGACAAAGCCATACCTAAGAAAACAGTTTCTCCCGGTAGCTATCATCAGTGAAGTTTTCCCCCAAAAAAGTCAAAAACTAAGATCTCTTACAAACATTTCTCATAGAAACCTATTTTTTTTAGCTCAGTAGATACTATCATGCTCTAAACCACTAATGTATGTTTGCAATTTCCTGCATCTTACTCACTCATCAGTTTCCACCCTCAAAGTAGAAAACCATGTCCCCTAAGGAAGCGGAAGCCTGCCCCACACAAACCAGTCAGCACCTTTTTCCAGAGCATCACTGGTCCCCTTCCTACTCTTGCCACCTTGGCACCCAATTTTTCGCGAATTAGAAGAATTCTTATGATCATCTAGCACAAACCTAAGTCTCCTCGGAAAAGCACAACACCGCACCTTACACCCATTCAAACACCTTCCTCTCCAAAATATTCATGATAGAGAATGAATTCCTGGCATCAGTTCGACTATCTGCAAATGGAGGTCAAAATCCATCACCCCATCCTGCCCGCTTCCCGACAGGGTCCAGAAACTCGTCCACTCCTCCTCCAAAGAGATGAGTTCCGACTTTCAGAGACCCAAATGTTTTCCACCCACCCATGTCAACTCCCTTCCCAGCTCCCTTCGCCCTCCCGCAGCACAGGCCTGGCCTGGCTCCTCGCTACCACACCTTCCACAGACCGCTACTTACCGCTTTTTGGGGATGATGCCAGACTCCGGTGCCGCGGGAGTGGCCGTAGGCGCCGCCGTGGCCGCCGACGCGGCTCTCCGCGCCTTGCATTCATTGGTACTCAGAGCCTCCTGGGGCCGGCCCAGCAGATGGCCCGAGAGAACACGCAGCCTCCGCCCAGCGCGGTCCTGGTCCGGGTCTCGTTCGGCGGCAGAGCCGGAGCTCGCACTCGTCTCTCCCGCCGCAGCCGCAGCCGCAGCCGCAGCCGCCGCCTCCGCCATGGCTTCCGCCTAGTGCTGCCGCTCCGGACCACTGGGCGCGGGTGAAAGGTCACTCAGAGCGGCGCCAGGCGCGACCATTCGCTGCGGCGCATCCCGGCAGCCACCGCGGCAACTGGGCGGCGGGTGCCATGCGCCTGGAGCTTCACTTTCCCTGCGCCCGCCCACCGCGCCCGCCCCCGAGGCCCCGCCCCCACAGCGCGCACCTGCCCCGCAGGTGAGTTCCAGCCCTCCGGGATTGGCCCAGCCCGGGCTGACCAGGTCCGGGAGCCAAACCGCAAGCAATTCTGCAGTATCTTGGGGTGGGGCCTGGGTGGGGCCCTAGGGTGTGGCCTGGGCCTCTGGAAAGGCCTTCAGGGGCAGACGCCTTTGAGCTGGAGAAGTGTCCGGCGCGGGAGAATCTCACAGTGGTTTCATGAAAGAGGTCCAATTACTCTTCCACCTCTGCTTCTCCCTCGCCCTCCTACACACACTGCAGTAACTCAGAACTGATCCTCACTGACTCTAGCAGTTAGACCGCAAGGCTGTGTCATTTGCTCATCGCCCCCTTCATTCCTGGCAGTGTACTTAATGCTAGATCTCAAGTAAGTAATTTCGATCTTAGAGATGCAAAAACTGAAGCTCGAGATATATATATTTTCCAAGATCATACAGTTAAGAAATGCTTAACACTGAGTTGTAATTCCCCTTTCCATTGATTACTGGGCTCTGAGCTCTTGCTCGCCCAAATAGAGGTGAAGTTTTTTGTTTTTTTTTTTTTCATTTTTATCGGTACCGGGGATCGAACTCACGACCGCCTGCTGGCAAGGCAGGTGTTTATGCCTCTGAGCTAAATCCCCAGCCCCCAAGTTTTTTATTATTAAAGCAAAATTAAGAGATGTTCTTGATGCTATTGTTTACAAATTGTTTTCATACCTAAAGCATGACACTTGAATTAGAGAAATTCACACGTGAATTAGACAAATCTCATAAGGCAGTGCTTTACAACGCTTTTCAGCCACTGTCTCGCTTAATAATTTAGTTCAAACAAAACTCCCCATTGTCTCTCTCCATCGTGTGGACCTTCGGTTATGGCTTTCTAGTGGACAGAAAAATACTACCAGAGAATAGAGGAATCTGAAGAACGCTCATACTTAGGACTCAGTACTGACAGCTGACCTCTAGAGTTTCGCTGGTTTCCAGGACTGAGATGATGTTGTTACAGTGAATTTCCACAGAGCCCCAGACTGGTTAAAAACTACCAATTAAGGGTGGGCAAATTATTGTTGAAATGCCAACTCCAGCCTGCAGTGTGTTTTTATATCAATCTCACGAAAATGCTTTTTATATTTGGAATTTCTCAATCTTTGCAGTAACCCAATGGCACAGGCTCCACTATTTATAGGAAAGGATAAAGGAGATAGTTAAGAGGCTTATTTGAAGTAACTCTTATGTTATCCCGCATATATTTTTCATGATATTGTGCTATTCCACTAGTCAAGTTCTGGGGCATTAACACTGTGTGTTAAATCTTACTTATGTTGGGGTTAGAGGTGTTGATCAGTTGTAGATCACTTGTTCAATCTGTGTCCCCAGCACCACTTTAATAAATAACTTACGTAGATTTAATTTTGTTTGTTCATTTACGAATTCTCAAGTTGAACTTACTAAGACAAATTTTCACCCTAGGTATAAACTGTACTCGTAGTTCTGACGGTTTGTGTTTTGAGGAAAATTCCAGGGACTGCTACCATAGCTGTCAGGACCCTATTCATGTGTAGCACTTTCCTAGGTTTTTGTAACTGAAAAAGAGAATCTTTAAGTGATTTGCATAGTTAAATATGGAAGCCTAGAAGCTTTTTTGTTGTTGTTTTTTGTTTTTTGAGACAGGATTTCATTATGCAGTTCAGGCTGGCCTTGAACTCATTTGGTAGAGTAGGCAGAACTCTCAGCAATCCTCCTACCTCAGCTTCCTGAGCGCTGGGATTACAGACATGCACACCACACCTGGCTCTGCGTGGCATTTTCTGATAACCAGGTAAATGGATATGTACTCTTCCATATTTGATGACAAGAGAGAGCCCAGCTCTCCTTTACTTCACCATCAGTTAAGGAAACTGTCTGTTATAAAAAGTTAAAACTGACTCTATAAAAAAAATGACTTATAAAAAATGACTTTTTGTGTCAGGCAACCCTGATCCACTGAAGTAGTTATGATTCTCACAAAAATCAAAACCTCACAATTTTTTCACTGAGCCGTCTCAGTGAAACTGAACTTTCTGAGTTCTGGAACCTGGCTGTTGGTAATAACCTGAATCTCAGTGGAAAGCAAAACACATCTCAGAAACAAAGGATAAATACATGATGTGTAGAATGAATAGAGTGTCTTTGATTTTTTTTTTTTTTTTGGCACTGATGGTGTGTCTTTTAATTTAAGGCAAAGAAAAAGTCTGAGTAAGATGGATCAACTGGGTCTGAAGTGGAGCTCAGCAGTAGAGCTCTTGCTGAGCATGCACAAGAGCCTGAAATTGAGCCCCAACACCACTAAAAAAAGGAGAAAAAAAATATTAACTCCTGATATATGTACTAAATTTTTTTATGCACTGATTTTTATGACTCATCAGAGCTGCTCCATGATCCCAAAATGTTAGAGTTATTGCATTTTATACGTTTATTATTGTGAACTATAACAGAAAGAAAGGTGAGCAAAGCATTGTATTATCACAAAGCAAGCACTCATGTAACTACCCAGCTAGGTCTAGAAACACTGCCGGCAACCTGAAAGTCCCCTGTATGCCCTCTCCCAATTACTTCATACTTCCTACTTGCTAAGGTAAACACTATCCTGTGTTTTATTATAAACATTACTTTGCTTTTCTTTATGGTTTTACTAAGCATGCATCTTTTACCTAGTTTTGATTTGGTTTTGTATTTATATAAGTGGAAACTTCTGTGTGTGGTTTCTTGCAATGTTATCTTTATGAGATTCATGCATTTTTTCATTAGTATATATTTATATCCCTTCCAAGGATTGATACATTGATAAAGTGTGTCAATTTCTTTGCTATATACTATTTACTGAAAACATATTTCAGAGTTGATCTATTTTACAATTAATGAACAGAGATGTTTGATAGTATTATGAATAAAATGACAATTTTTATAGGTCTATAAGTAAAATATATGAACTATTGAAAATTCATCTAAGAATTGAACCACTAATTCATAAAGTATGTGTATGTTTAATTTTATTAGATAATGGAGTACCAATTTTTTCCAAAGGGACTAATCTAAATCTATTACCCTAGCAGCATGTGAAAGCTCTCATTACTCTAGTATGTGTTATTGTCAACCTGGTTAATTTTAGCTACTATATTGGTTGTTATCTTCTATGTTATATGTGTTATCTTCTGATGACCATGTATTATTAAAACTTTTTGGTCTCTTAAAATTTTCTTGCAACTTTAAAAACTGAGACTTCCAAACAGATTCTGCTTATATTCATATCTCCCTACCTATTTATAATCTTAGAAATTAAAATTGAAAAATATTTGAAACACATCAACTTAAAATAATGGCCAACCAATACATAATAGGTAACATATCTAAATTTAAAATAACTATACTTCCCTGAAAATAAAGCACAAAAATGCTATTATTTTATATTTTGCAGATTTCTTTAATGTCTAGCTTGATAGAAGACACCTAAACTTTTGTATCTGCTTCTGAATTCTATGTGTTAAGATATCAAATGCTATGTAACCTCTGAATGATTCCATTTTACACTCATGAGTGAATGAGATTGAAAAAGGCAGATATCATCTATCTTATTATGAAAATAGTTTTGATCTTGCTGACCCCTCAAAGGGACTCAAGGAACCACATGTTTCCAGTTAGCCTCTTTAGAACCACAGCTCTACAGTGTTTCTATAGATTCCCACTAAAATGTTTATTAAGGACACCAGACAGCTGCATGCCAAACGTGGTTAATGACATTCCCACAAGAATCAGTTTGTAGGGGGAATAAAAGGAAGTAGTCTGTAGGAGCCTTGGACATGTAATAGATTTTGTGTTCTTTTCCCATTTAAAAAAATATACAATGCCATCATTCATAAGACAAATTTGTCAAAAATATTTGAGGCCTAATTGCATGCTGTGATACATTCTATGTGAAATATTTCTTCAGTTTCTTACAATCACATTTTGAAAGTCATTCCTACACTTTAAAATTAGATTTCTAAATTGAATCCATGAATGAACAGAAGCATAATTTCTATAGATGAGAAGCCTGATGTGACTTTTGTGATATAACATGATTTAAAGTTACTTTGTAAGATCAGCCTCACTCCCATTTTAGCTTCATTGAGTTATTTTTATCATTGCATTTAGATCAGTAGTGAATAGTTAAAGGATGTTCTGGGCCAGTTACTTCCAAAATGATTTTTTCTAATGCTATGGAAATCAAACCTTGAAAATTGTTTATTTCAAATCCTAGTTGTTCGCTGCCATGACCTGTTTGGCTCTCAAACAGCCCAAGGGTGAGGACCATGGAGAGCAGTGAGACCATAAAGAAATAAAGACTCAACACAGAAAGCTGGGATCAGGTGGAGCCCTCTCACTTGATGAGAGGAAAGACACTGCTCAACCACCCTAGCACTTTTCTTTGTACACTCAGGAGGATCAGGTCAATTTCAGCCCCTCTGCCTAGCAACTTGTTTGCCTGGTTCCTGGGCCCCTTGCATTCTTGCAGCTAGACTAGCTTGTTTAAGTGGCTCACTTTAGACTCTCCCTGCTTTGGGGGCTGGCCTTACTTTAACCAGCATGTGAAGTGAATCTCCAGCTTCAGCTGCTCCCCACAATTTGAACTTTTCATACCTCCAGGGTTCTTAGTTCTCTTTATCTGGTCACCTTTATGAATTGTGGGCAGGAGCATTCAACACACAAGAGTAAATACTATTCTCAAAGACAGACCTTTTCTGTCTTATTCTAGAAATTGTTTTTTGTTATGGATTGAAAGAATTTTTCTGGGCAAAAGATTAGAAGTTAAACATTATATCCACTAAGATTCCTGCAGAACACTCAGAGAAAGCTAACAGTCTTAAACCCAGTCAGTGATCTCCAGGAGCCCGTAATT